CAAGAGCACAGGGACCCTTTGGAGACTCAGGCTCAGGTTGAAGATAAGGACTCCACATAGCTGGGGTGTACAGGCTTTGAGCACCCCAGGGCGGACACCATCAGAGCCTGCAGCCTTGTTAGAGTGGAGTCTCCTCAGCTGTCTTCTCACCTGGTCAGCAGTGAGACACAGAAGTTACAGGTGGGGGAGGGGGAGAGGAGGAATTGTCAGACTGGAGAGGGCTGTTAACCTCAGAGCCAAAGGAAGGGGGAGTAGGGGTCTCCCAGGAGGGTGGGGGACAGTGAGGAGGAGGAGGGGGGAGTAGTGGGGTTGGAATTGTTTGAGGGCAGACAGCAGCTAAGTTAGTAGGGGGATGGGCAGAAGTCATAGTATCATATCTGTTAAAGAACAGATTAAGTTTTTTGGTCCTTTCCAAGCTGCCTTCCACTCCTGCTGCCAGTCGGCATGTTCCTCATGCTGCTCCAGACCTCCCAAATGTTGTTCAGCTGGAGTTTACGCTCCAGCTTCCTCCTGTACTTCTCCTTATCCTCCCTGATCTTCACATTCAGGTCCCCCTGAATGGCCCTCACCTCCTCCCTATTACCATCTCTGAAAGCCTTCCACTTTGCATTCAGGATGTCCTTGATATCCACGGTTTGTTGTTTGAGTAACAATGGACAGTTTTTGTTGGGACAGTGCAGTTCACACAGAAGTTTATATAATCTGTGATTCACTCAGTAAGCTCATCTATGTGCTCTCCATCTGGCTCACAGAGTGCATCCCATTCGGTCACCTCGAAACATCCCTGAAGTGTCTCATAGGCCTCCTCCGACCATCTCTTCACTGTCCTTGTGGTCGCAGGCGACCTTTTCACCAGAGACACATAACAGGGATTGAGGTGAACCAGGTTGTGGTCTGACCTGCCCAGGGGGAAGAGCTGTATGCATCCCTAACATTAGCATACAGCAGGTCCAGGGTCATCTCCCCTCTAGTATTGCAGCTCACATACTGGGTGAAGTTAGTTAGTGTGGTGGTCATGGTGACGTAGTTGCAGTCACCTGAGATCACTATGAGGGCACCCGGGTGTTGAATCTGGAGATCAGAAATGGTGGTGGGATGACATTACATGGCGACGTTGGGTTGGCAGAGGGCGGAATGTAAACAGCTACAGCGATGGTATGTGAAATTTTCCATGGCAGATTATATGGCCGGAGTCCCACAGCAAGCAGTTCAGTGTCCGGGCTACAGATACATTGATACACACCCGTAATGTGACACTGAAATTACGCCATCTGTTGTTGACTGGCAAGTACCCTGCCTTTACGCTTACCGCTCTCGGTGCAATCCCTTTCGGCCCGAACTGTCTGAAAGCCGTCGATGGAAACGTTGTGGTCAGGAATATCCTGGTGTAGCCAAGTCTCCGTGAAACACATTAAACTACGTACACTCCCAGAACTCATGCATTTTATTAGCCAGTGACCTCACATTGCCCATGATGAGAGAGTGGAGACACGGCTTATATCTCCTTTTCCTATGTCTCTGTTGTCTGGACCCCTCTCTCCTCCCTTGCCGTTTAGTTCCTCCTCTGCGTCTTCTGTGTGTCCTCCTGCTGATCTCAGTGGGGATGTCTGTGAGTCGGCTTCAGCGCGATCAGCTGGTCCCAGGTGTAAACAAAGCGACCATTTAGTTGAGTAACAACCAGACCAAAACTCTCTCAACTTGCATGAATAGAGGGAGTGTAGCTTAAATTAACTATAAACCAAAAATCACACACGTGAGATATAAAAAGATAAAGTTTAAAGTAAGACGACGAAGGGGAGCAACTGCAACAGGCTGCATGCACGGTTGGCGCATACGCACTTCACTTGATATATGCGATTGGCTGATTAGCTATTTCTGTTAAGAAGCAATTGAGAAGCCGGTGAGTGTATGGCCCTGAGCAGTGGATGGAATTTGCAAGCCAGCTGCTAATTTAAAACCAAATCTTAAATAAACAGTACAAATTACAGCAAGATATTGAATATCCCGGCAGACTCACCGTTTTACCTATCTGAACAGCATTTAAAACACTGTAAACCATTTGTTTACCATCTAGACAATGTCTGTGTCAATTTTTGAATAAAGATTAATGGGGATATGGATGTTAATTGACTTTACATATTTTGAAAAAGATAGAGTGACGGACTTCTGAATTCACCATAGCTTACAGTGAAGCAAATTTTGTCACTTTCGCTGGAAAAATCTTGCCGAACAAAACGGTAACGTCTGGGTCTGAAAAGTGAAGGTAATGTGGAAGTGCATTAAACATGCATTCCTTCTAATAGCCAGCAGGGACGGGACTCTGGTTGAAAGATTAAGTCTGATTGCACTGGAGTCAATGACAAAATTACCCTATTTCTCACTTTTTTTTTTATTACCTCATTAAACACTTTCCTGAGTTCATGGTCTCAGTCACTAGTTTCAAGTCTTCTTCAATACAGCATGATGTTCATTTAGTAAATGATGGTCCCATTGAGAGGAAAATGGATGATAAAGCAGAGTATGCTTTAGGGTGTGGTATCTTGTAAATGACAAGTCGCTACCACAGCAACCCGACGATCAGGATAGAGGCGAATCGGATCCACTGCACTGTGTACATTTAACTAGCGCCGTAATTTGATTTATGACCGTTTATGTAAAATTTAACATAAAAAAGAAGACATACTTTATTAATTCCACAAGGGGAAATTACTTTTTTTTTCACTCTGTAGTTTATGTTTTATATTATTAGTATTATACACACAGGCCACACACATGCACAGGACCTATATTAACAACACATGGAGAGATGTCAGAGCAAGGGGGCTGTCTCGGCGCCCCGAGTGGTTGGGGGTTCAGGGGCTTGCTGAAGGCCACCTTTGGCTGTGCCCAGGAAGTGGACTGTCCACACTCCGTATCCCTGGTCTAAGCCGGACTTGAACCAGCGACCCTCCGGTTTCCAGCCAAGTCCTGAGCTACTGCAGCTCCAAAATGTATGGAATATAAAAAAATCTGAGATTGTCATTTTTGTGGGAAATGGTCCAGATATACTATGGTAAAATGTTGATGCCATTTGGTCAAAATATGTAGGAAAAAATGGTTTTGTATCAAATGCCACACTGAAAATTGTGTCACAGACTTGCTCAGCATCCCCATTTGTAAGAATTTGCTAAATTATGTTACCATGCAGTTAGCAGCAACTGACAAGCCAGTATCCAGCCAAGCTGCATGCTGCAGTGGTCAGCAACTCGAGTAATGGTGGTCACTTTACCTGGTTCACTTCACTGTCTCGTGGCCGTGGCGGTCTGCTCTGCTGACTACTGATTTTGCTCTGTGTGTATGTTTGTGTAGGAGCTCCAGAGAGCAGGATTTCTATGATTTCAACACGGATTTGTTGATCACAATGTAATGTTAGCAAAATCACGGAAAAAATAGGGTACATCGATAGTGAGTTAACTGATTTTTGAAATCTGAGCAGGAACTCTGTTCCCTCCAGACTTTTACACCCAGAGTGGCAACCATTTGTTACAATAGCTTAAGTCAAGTTTGATTTATGAGCATTTATCTAGGCTTTAACTAAAAGATACAGGTGTAAAATGTATAATTTCAAAACAGATTGATGTATCAAAATTCAGCACAGACGAAATAGGAAATAGGATTTTGAGAAAACTCTCAGATGCAGATGAGTTGAGAGATTAAAATTCAAGAATCTATACCTTGGGGTTGCACTGTAACAATCAATCAAATCAAATGTCATTTTATATGACATGTCCGTTCCATGCTTGGCCCCCAGCCCATCTCTGGCTTGGACCCCTAAAGGTAGTTTATTTATCATTAAACACAAGGTTGTATAACAAAATTAATGTTTATTGTCCCTTTATACTACACATAGAACTTACATAGAACAGACAATTAAACGAATATTAAAACATGGTAACATGTAAAAATATAAAGTTATTTACATACATATACATAGATGACACAAATACACCCAGATACACATTCTGCAGTGCATTTTGTGAATTTAAGTCTGGGGTGAATGTAAAAGAGCAGCAACCAATGATAATATGGTTTCATCTTTACATTAAAAGACATTTGGGAAACAGTGTTCACTTTGACTACGTTTGAGCATCATCGATGTACATACAGAGTCCTCTCATCTTGCCGGAGTCTTGTGCACTGACAGCTTGGAACATGGTCTGCCCGCTGAGTGCTTGATCTGGAATGGAAGCAGATCTCTGTAAAGATGTGGGCAACAGTTTCTAACTTCCTGTTGCTTGGCCAACTTGAGTCCCATTTTGTACGGACTCTCTTTCCTCTCTTCTGAGTGATCACCAGCTGTGTTGCCTGGTCCGGTGGATCTAGCTCGGTGGATCGTCTCAAGGTCCACTGCTCTTTAATCCAAAACCCTGTATTCCTCTTCCAATGACTGTATTTCTTTCATAGGTTACACGTGTTTTTCAGTAATAAAGCCAGACAAATGAAAAACAAAAATGTCTCCAAGTTTGAAGGAGCGTTAGGCTGCTGCATGTACATGCGCTGCCATTCCCATAGCAATTCCAATAGGGTCCTTGCACTGGTCGGTGCTCAGGCCCTAATAATATTATTAATAATAATAATTAATAATAATAATGATGATGCAGAATACAATAACAATAGTGTGAATGCTGCTGAATCAGCTTTCACACTAATAAAGAGAATAAGCATCAGCATTCACACTTAACATCAGTGTCAAATTTGCATAGTACTAATGTGTACTGTGGTCCTCGTGAGCAACACTGGTACAACATTCCTTTCATGAGTTCACAGTCATTACCATTGTCTAAATTTTTTGCAATTTGTCTATCAACCTAATAAATTATTTGAAAATGATTAACTGGTGTTTAAAATGATACACTTAACACCCGTAATACTCTTTTCCTGCACATTTTTTTTTAGACAAATACCTGCTGACAATGAAAAGTACCTGTAATCTTAACCTCATGCTGCTGTTGTGTTTGCAGGATCCTGGCCACTGTGGGTGCTGATTTTGATCTAAGAACACTGAGGGCGGTGAGAGTACTGCGGCCCCTCAAACTTGTCTCTGGCATTCCAAGTAAGTTAATGTAACCAAGTATCTATCTGTTTCTAATTAGATGGAAATGAAGCAAGATGAAATTATGATTTCAGTTATACCAAGATAATACAATAATTTATTATTATTTCCTGAAAATTAATTTTTGTCCTCTAATGTTTTGAATTGAAAATATTTTGGAGAAGAAAGAGAAGGGGCAACCATAGCCTACAGTTTCATATGGCTTTTCTTACATTAAACGGGTTTAATGTCCCTAAAAGTTTTCAGTTTCTAATGTTTTACTTAATGATCCGCGACTGTGCTGACGGACTGGTTAGCTGCAGCGGAACGCAGTTTGGGCCAAACTAATACTTTCACTATTGATGGGAGGATACCGACTTGGACTGATCCTCGTTTTTTCTGGTTGGCTCATTGGCGCCAATCAAAGGAGTTCCCTTTGGGGCGAGTTTAATCCAAAACCTTTTGCCACCAGTTTGCTACGTTTTGTTGGTGCTGAACTCAGTCCAGGGTTGTGTGACAAGTGCAATAAAGACAGTAAATATGGCAAAAAGAAAGAATGAGGAAAAAGAAATGTGTGGTGCCGAAAAATTAAGAAGAAAAAGATGTTGGCACAAGACGCAGCTGAATGCGCCAAATTAAGTGACTGCTTCCTTGGTGAAAAAGTTGCTGTGGCAGGCAGGACCCAGCAGGAGAAGAAGTGCACAATTAGAAATGCATTTATTAAATACTGAAATTATTTATATATATATTTATATATGTATTTATATAGGCATAAATATTATATATAATATTTATTTATACAATTTTATTTATTTATATATTTATAATATTTATGATAAGCAACGGTTTGCAATGTGTTATCACTCAAAGACAACATCCTTCTATAAGCGAGGAATCTGTGTGTGTCTGTATATATATTAGCTGTTAAGGTCAGTGGAGATGATGTACAAGTACAGGGTGATGAAGGACCCAGTCATGTTGATGAGGAGGGAGAGAAGAAAGAGGAGGAGACAATGGAACCAGAAAAAACAGTGACAGGTACAGGGGCAGTGTGCAGGGCTGAGTAGGCAATCATATGTGAGATATGAGATAGAATTAGAAAATGTATTATTGTTAGTCACATTTATTACTGATGTTCTTCTCATGCATATGTAGCTGTACGATCAGTACAAGCAGAGGGAGAGTCCAGCACAGGGGAAGCTGAGCCAGACAGAGGCCTACTCAAAGCTGAAGATGAGGGATTTTTATGCAAACACAAACACAGTGCTCTATTTTATGGGACTGTGTTGTAGTTTTTGATTATATTTAACTATTTTAGCACTCTGATGGGCTGTACACATGACATGTTGGTAGCAGTATACTGTAACTTAAGTGTTCCAGCTCTGGCTATTTGAAATGTTTGCTACGTTCCCCTCCGATAAAGCCAGTTGCAGTATATAACGTTAGACCATTAGCTGTAACAGAGATGGGAAGTCAACGGCACCCACCAGTAAAACAAGAACAGCAGCATGAGGGGACCAGTTGCCAGGATGGATGATGCAGGGCTGTACAGAGTATTTCACTTGCATATATCCCAAAAAATAAATACATGGGAAGCGGGAAAATGATTTACGAGCACAGTATGCGAGTAAAGACTACAACCTACTGTAATTGTTCTGCAATTATGATTATTGACAATTGATCATTATTGAAGTATTTACTTTTTTGTATTTTCTTGCACATGGATTTTATAAATGGAAACATTCCACAAAAATTAAACTGCTGTAACAGTGGGCAGTGTTGGCAAAGTTACTTTGGAAATGTAATAGATTTCCGATTACAAGTTACCCTATTTAAAATGTAACAGTAGCCTAGGTTAACTACTTAACTTTCAATTACTCTTTATTCAAAGTAATTGAATTTACCACATTTCCTTGCTTTTCTAAATTTCTAATGAATGTTTTTCAACTGTTAACCAGACAGTTTGAGAGGCAGTTTAACTGCCAGATGTTGGTGCTGCAAATTCAGACATGAGAACCAATCAAGAACATCAAACTTTACTAAACACCTGTGGCTGGACCTGGCAAAGAGAGACATTGTGCACATGAAAACATGCTAAGCAACAAAATTAATATTATTTAACATATAGCCGAGTAACTGTGATTTAACTACACATTTTCCCCAGTAACTGTAACATATTAGTTACAGTTCATTTGTAATTAAATTACGTAACTAAATTACTTGTAACTAGTTACTTCTCAACACTGGTAACTGGAATATAATATTCATAATAGGCCTAAACTAGTGTACAGTATATGAAATTGATTGAATATACTGAGATTATGTAAGTAATATAGTAACATTATACTAACAGCTGACTTGAACAACAGCTTGCAGCTGACCTGCCGCCCAGTCGCGCATTCACGCCAAGGATGGTGCATTCAGTAACTCAGTACCGCAGCGTTACTTGGATTAGTAACTGTAATGATATTACTGTTTTGGAAATAGTAATCCATTACACTGCTAGTTACTGGGAAAATGAGTAAATTTAAAATGAGAAAAGTAATATTATTACAGTTTCTGCCCAACACAGTAGCCAAGCTATGAAATTAGTTTTAATTTAATGTTAGAATATTATACTAATAGAAATAATTTATACTCCACAGATTCTGTGCAACCAAAAAAAATTATTTTTAACAATTAAAATAATACTGATAAATTAAACTCAATCAGCAACAGAAAACTACTTCCTTAAAAGAGAAAGCAAGCATGTAACAAAATTTAATCATTGGGGACATGTCCCCACCACATTTTGAAATGGCTGATTTTGTCCCCATCACTTTTTGAAAGCATTTGTTAAAAACGTTCTGAACAACAGCTTGCAACAGCTTCTTGGTACAAGAATCCTGATCATGTGTGAGGCCACATACCAGATGAGCTAAACACCTTTTATGCTCGCTTTGATCTCCTCAACAAAGTGTCAGCGATAAAGTCTACTCCACCTCCAGAGGAACGGCCACTGTCAGTATCCACTGCAGATGTGAAAAGAGTCCTGCTGAGAGTGAATATGAGTTAAGCTGCTGGGACTGATAACATCAGTCTGTGTAGTGTTATATCCCACTGGGTGTGCCGTGGTATCTGGCACCAAGACGATAGCAGCAGATCCTTTCACACTGCAAGTTGTGAGGTGGGGCTTCCATGGATCAGGCTTGTTTGTCCAGCATATCCCACAAATGCTTGATTGGATTGAGATCTGGGGAATTTGAAGGCCAAGTCAACACCCTGGTGGTACCTCAATCCATTCCTGAACCATTTTTGCTTTGTGGCACATTATCCTGCTCAAAGATGCCACTGCCATCAGGAAATACCATTTCCGTGAAAGGGCGTTCATGTACTGCAACATAGCCCAATGTATCACACTGCCTCTGCTGGCTTGCCTTCTTCCCATAGTACATCCTGGTGCCATGTGTTCCCCAGGCATGCGACACACGCACCCATCCATCCACGTGATGTAAAAACATGATTCATCAGACCAGGCCCCCTTCTTCAATTGCTCCGTGGTTCAGTTCTGATGCTCTCATGCCCATTGTAGGCACTTTCAGCAGTGGACTGACAATACTTGTTTAATGTGCAAAATTCTGCCCATAATTTATTAACCTCTTGGAAACAGACACCTATTTCCAGGAAAAACGCCTAAAATAATATATACCCAAAATGAATCAGTAATAACTCAACCATTAGGCCTAGATGCAAAGATCTCCTTTGGTAGATCAGAAGCTAAAGAATATGAATCTATTTATTTTTCTATTAGAGAATACATACAATACAGGAAAATACGATATTTTCGTCCTCGCCTGGTATAAAATCTATATTTTAATAGCAATGTCACCATCAAAACCATCCTGTAGATTATAATGCAACTGAATATTTTCTAATACACCTGGAATACAACTGTAACTGTAAATTTGATTGTCCGAGGGGCAGAAAGTGACGTGAACGCGAGCATAGGCGGAGCGGGGGTGGCTTATTGGGCTTAAGCCCGAATGTTTTGTCAAAAGCCCCAGATCTTTTAGGTTTTTAAAATAAGTTCAACTTTGTTTCATTTCCCCTCAGTCTTTCTGACTGGAGCGACAAAATGACAGAGCAACAGCTGGCGGTAGAGCATCATTCAGTCAGTCAGCCGACCGCTAATAAACACTAAAGAAGAAGAAAGAACTCTTCTTCTTTGTCGTCGTGATAGGGGGCTGTTAGGGGCGCTGACTAACCAGCTGATGTTATGGACAAAGTTTTTTATGCGGAGAAGTGAACCTCACCGGCCACTCACACAGAGAAGCAGCATCAGACTGAAACGCGGACAAGTGTGACCTCCCTTTCCACAAATATTGGGAAATGCATTGTGAAACCATATGTCTTTTAACTCCAAATCAAACAAACTGACTAAGTATCTGTTAGTTACAATGACTTCACATTTTAACACATTTTCATCACAATTAGCTTAATTTCTAGCACTGTTAATTCCAGAAACAGAATTAGTTAGCCTGGCTTAACATTAAGACTGAAAACTGGCTAATTAATACATTGTATCTCGTTAGTTCAATCCACTCATAACCAGAAATGTAAAAACAACTACTACTAAAGGGGAGTTACGTGCTGGGATTATTTATATCAGCTTGTTGTCAAAGTGAGAAATGGTTCCCGCCGTAATTCCCCACCCAAACAAAATTACATTTCTAAACCAGTTACATATAACATGTTAATCAGTGATCTTGTGTCTGTATAATCAGGTGTCTGTACAGTTAGCTTGCAGCTAACGAGTTTGAATGAAGTATGTTTTACAAGGCAATTAGTTCAATGAAAGAAAAACTTGAATTCAGAAGGTGTACAGTAGTATCTTTCTGTTTGATAAAGAAAATAGGTGTAAGAATATTTTCTTTTTTGACATTTTTGAGTTAATTTTGTTTATTTATTAGACCAAAAAAACTAATGTTGTGTAAAATTGCAAACTCGCTGCTAGCACACTAGCTGAAACTACATGGTGGAGGGCTGAGCTATAATATCGGTATAAATAAATCGCCTCTTGAGGTACAAAGTGGTATTATGAGACAGGATGGGCCATGCTAGCTGGTTACCATAATAAGTTCAGTAGATGTCTCTGCAACTAAGAGCGTCACTTTGTGTTGAAAACTGGTGGGGACATAGGGGCTCAGATTAGGGGTGCACAGAGAAACTTAGCTCGCGAGACATCACAATACTCAATACACAATATTAGGTTAACGAGATGAAAAGATCCTTGAAAGTGTTTTAAAGATATCCTCAATTCTGAGATACAGGGACGGGGGGTCTGGGGGACCTCACCCAGGAAATTTTGATCATTAAAGACTTAATTTCCTGCATTCTGGTGAAGGTTTCTGCACCAATTTATGGGGGAAATGTTTTATTTATGTAAAAGGAAAAACAAAATTCAGGTAGCACATTACATTTCAAAATGTACACTGCTCAAAAAAATAAAGGGAACACTAAAATAACACATCCTAGATCTGAATGAATGAAATAATCTCATTAAATACTCCTTTCTTTACATAGTTGAATGTGCTGACAACAAAATCACACAAAAATTATCAATGGAAATCAAATTATCAACCCATGTAGGTCTGGATTTGGAGTCACACTCAAAATCAAAGTGGAAAACCACACTACAGGCCGATCCAACTTTGATGTAATGTCCTTAAAACAAGTCAAAATGAGGCTCAGTAGTGTGTGTGGCCTCCACGTGCCTGTATGACCTCCCTACAACGCCTGGGCATGCTCCTGATGAGGTGGTGGATGGTCTCCTGAGGGATCTGGATCCTGGATGAGCTGCACTACCTGAGCCACTTGTGTGGGTTGTAGACTCCGTCTCATGCTACCACTAGAGTGAAAGCACCGCCAGCATTCAAAAGTGACCAAAACATCAGCCAGGAAGCATAGGAACTGAGAAGTGGTCTGTGGTCACCACCTGCAGAACCACTCCTTTATTGGGGGTGTCTTGCTAATTGCCTATAATTTCCACCTGTTGTCTGTTCCATTTGCACAACAGCATGTGAAATTGATTGTCAGTCAGTGTTGCTTCCTAAGTGGACAGTTTGATTTCACAGGAGTGTGACCGACTTGGAGTTACATTGTGTTGTTTAAGTGTTCCCTTTATTTTTTTGAGCAGTGTATAAATATAACAGAATATAAAGCAGTGCAGCTCTAAAGTATTCTGTGTTGCTTTCAGATATGTTTCTCCCGTAGATCAACTTTTCTCATGTAATATCGTCCCTACTGAGGCAACATATATGTAGGCATGATTTAGTCTTTCCTCCTCTTTTGTTATGTTCACAGGGAGAGAACGGATAACATGGCCAAAAAGAAACTGTGTTAAGAAGTGTTAAAGTTCACATTTTTGGGTCATTTTATAATCAGTAGCTTGCTTTTTTTAAGTTAAGTTCCTTTTTTTGACAATGCACATTAGTTTCTTCTATAGTTTAATTCCATTGCATGTTTCTTAATGTGCAAATAAACTTTTCTAAAGGATTTTTCATTTCTTATTTAACTGCAAGCTATATTTCAGAATGTTTTAAAAAAGTGATGGGGACAAAATCAGCCATTTCAAAAAGTGGTGGGGACATGTCCCCAGTGTAAATGACTCCTATGTCTACAACACAATAAATAGACTACTCTCTGAGATAACACCAAAACTTTTATTTCTTCACATTCTGCTAATAATTTTAGTTTGAGTCTTTTTAACTTGTTCTTACACATTGCAACTTTTATGGAAAAGGTTGCAGATTGTCAGCCTCTGCTGGTAGAATATGCAGTCCACTGTCCAATCACTATAAACATCTAAGAAAGAAAAACGTGTTAAGTCTCCTCTTGCGTGTGGCATCACTTGTCACAGGCACGAAGCATTTTAGTTTGAGTTTCTAGATACGGTTGATAGGATGTTATCTCAATGGTTGCTAACAAAGCAAAGTAACCATTTTCCCCATTTTTCTCTCCCCATTAACATGGTAGGAGAACCTGTGAAAGAAATCAGACATTATGAATGAATTTTGAAATCTGATTAATAATTAAGCGTTACCATCAATTGCTAGTAGGGTGAAGCATTTGGAGTTCTACATATAATAACTTGAGCTTCACTCTTATTAAATAAACCAGAATGTATACAAACAAAATGTATTAAAAAGAAAAAAACATGAGATGAAACCTAACTAAAATGCAGTGTGAGTTCCTTTGATCTGCACCGTATGTTAAGCAGTATGGACACACGTGTTGCTTTAAAGTTCACTTTGTGTGGTTATGTTTAAGACCAAATTGAAGTATGTGATGTATTAACGGTACCTTGTTAGAAAGCTTGCAATCAAAGACTGTGTATGAGTGAACAAAAATGTTAATAGTGAACGTATTGAATCAGTAAACTGATAACATATTTAATTTGTTTTCGACCAAAATATCCAATCTTCCAATTAAAAATCCACTTGTGACAACAGCATTATTAACATATAACGTTTTATGTTTAATTTGTTGGTTTGAAATATTTTTTCACAGATGCTTCCCACAGATCAAGAATAATCTCCACAATGAAGCTTATATGATATATACAATGAAGCTTTTCCTTACAGTATGAATTTACAGGCCTCTTACTCATTTCCTAAGCAATGATGAAGAAACATTTAAAATTCATTTTTACGCTTTTGAAATGCCATTAACCATATTGAGACAATCTGGCATCTTGTGTTTGGTTTGTGAACCTGTAGCCTGAATTACTTTCCACATCTCGGATGACAGAAATCTGCTAACATGAACACAATGTCAGACTGGATGAATGAAGTGAAACAAAATAGGAATTCAGTCTAATTTTCAGGTTAGCAAACGAAAATTGTTTATTTCAAGCAAATTGCCTTCATTGCAAAACTTAGATTATATAAATATGTAACCATTGTGATTTAGAAATTGCATTACCATTAAGAACATCAGTCAGTACTTCAAGGGACCTGTTGCATGTCATACCCCCCCCCCCTCCCATGTCTGTCATCATACTGTCACTCTCCAATGAAGGCAAAGCCAAAAGCTAAATTAATAAAATAAAATGGTCTCAAACTTATTTTCAAAAGCACATTTCTCTTGTCTGCGTCAGGTCTGCAGGTGGTATTGAAGTCCATTATGAAAGCCATGGTACCTCTGCTGCAGATTGGCCTGCTGCTCTTCTTCGCCATCCTCATGTTCGCCATCATCGGCCTCGACTTCTACATGGGCAAGTTCCATCGCACCTGTTTCAGGATAGACACAGGTAAGCTAGAGGAGAACAAGGGATAAACAAGTTCATGGTATTAACCTAGGCATAATTTGATCTCCATCATCCCTGTGTCAAGGATGTATTGCCGAAGGCATTGTTAATTAATTGTATAGTTATGTATATGATAAATTTCTTCTCTTTTTTTGTTCCGCGGTGAAAAACACCCCATTCTCAAGTAATTTACTGAGGTTTCTGCAAAGTACAAACTATTTGCTTCATCTCCCATTCCTGACATATATTGCAACTGTATGTATGTAGCTTATATGTAAGGGCTTTTGTATATAAATAAATGTAGGGCCATTGTTTTATTTTGTGTTATTTCATGTGTAGCATGAAAGGAATACAAACTTTTATTTCATTATACAAATAAACAACCTTGTAACCTTGACTAACAAAGTTTTTATAAGAGGATGCCCCTCTTCTATGGTGTATTCTAGTTAGATCTCAAGCTGGCTAAGGGATGATGATGGGAGGTGGGTACTGGATTTGTTTTAGTTTTTGTATTTGTCTTTAAAAAATTATAAAACTCATTTTAATTTCATTTATTTCAAAATTTAATTTTATTAAAATTACTTGACCCAAAATGTTAAATCATTTTAATCTCAGCCTAAAGTATATTTGCCATTTACCACACTGAAAGTGTGCAGAATTAGCTGTGGTTGGTTGCTTTTGTTGTCAGTGATATTTTTCAGCTACCATTAGATGAAACGGACATTTAAAGTATTGAGAGACTGTATAAATTTTGTCCAAACAGATCCACTGTAACAGCCCTTTCTACACAGAGCATTACAGGGAACAACTAAAGGAAAGCTGTGATGCAGTGTGTATTTTATTTAGCTATGAAAACAGATCTAAATTACTTCACTACTTTTGCTATCTTCAAACCTGCTACAGTGTGTTGTGCAGCTGTAGTATGAGAAGTATAACATGTAATCAGTATTACAAGAGACTCATTATAGATTTGTCTGTATCCCCAGCAGGGCAAATTAAAAGAATATGCCAACAACGCACACACACACACACACACACAAAGAAACAAATAAACAAACGCATATCTAAATTAAAACAGGACAAGGGAGGTATTGCCCTTCTAATAGATATGCAGTAGATGTTCTATTTACAAAGAATACAGATAACTATATTAGAATGACAAAATGTAGACACAGAATGACAACATTAGGTAAATAAAGTGCAAAAATAAATGAAGACATAGCAGATGTTGAGCAGCTTCCAGTGTGCCATAAAGACCTGTAAAGAACACAGACTACAGACACAAGAGGCATCAAAGTGCACATAGATATTATGGAATTTAAGCTCTGTATACTTTATAATTACATAATAATCACAATCAAAAATGATTTCAAAATTAAAGGTCTGTCATACATGTTTGTATCAACAGTGAAGAGTCAGCACTGTTTGAACTCCAATCGTAAGTCGCTGTGGATAAAAACATCATTATGTCACATGTACTTTGCTTAAATGTTGTCATCTTGTGTATTTAATTTGTCCAGCCTTCTCTGAAAATACCTCAGCATGTTTGTGTACTTTGTTTCTGTATGTGATAGTGTGTGAATGTATATGTTTGGGTGTTTTGTGGATGTAGGCGAGCAGGCAGCAGATTTCCCCTGTGGCCTGGAGGCTCCGGCCAGGACCTGTGATAATGGCACCACCTGTAAGGAGTACTGGATCGGACCCAGCTTTGGCATCACCAACTTTGACAATATCCTCTTTGCTGTTCTCACCGTTTTCCAGTGCATCACTATGGAGGGATGGGTGGACATCCTCTACAACGTGAGTCCACTTTAGGGAAACACATCTGGCCCTTACGCTGTTTTTGACGCACTATGTCTGTTAGGTGGTAGCAGATGGATGGGGTTTACTGCGTTGTTGAGTTGTGGAGGGATGTACTGTTGCCTGGTTTCAGAATCTCTGAATCATCGCCCACAGCTCATATTTGTCAGAGATTCAAATAGGTTAGTGTTGTGGTCACTGACTGCAGTTTTCCCTGGTTGCAGAAATGCTTGTCCAGTCAGAGCTTTGTGGGCGGGATTGTGAATGGGGACACCGTGTATATAACTACATAGCTAGTACGCTAGCTACATTAATTATTTTATAGGTTGAGTTGCATCTTCTCCTTTTTATATGTAAAACTGGATCTGTGCAAGACAGTGAACCCGCATTACTCCCGATAGTCAGACCTGTGCTTTGCATGGTGTGTGTGTGGGTGTGGGTGTGAGAATGGGTGAATGAGAGGCAAATTGTAAGGTACTTTGGATGAAAGGGCTACAGAAAGCTTACAGAAAAAACTACTCTCCAAGTTAACTGGAATTACTTTCTGGAATTCTTAAATGTGGCCTGATCTACATCTAAGTAACAACAATGAACAAACACATTCTGTTTTAACTAATAACCCACAAATTATAGTATTGTACTTGTCCATATTAATTGAAACATTCAGTGTAGGTTGGAAAAGCTAAGTGAACTTCTAGACTAATCACCTCAATATACGCTAATTTAGGGTAGTAATTTGCAAACCTGATGTCCAGTCAATGTAATGAGTTTGGAGCTGTTGATTTGAGCTACTTGTAAAAAACACTCAAACGATTTAAGTTTGGTATTCACAAAACGCCTCAGCCATGGGCGTCACCAGACTCTTTTTACTGGGGCACATGCTCCAGCATCTTTTTTGGACGTGTAGGGGCTCCGCAGTCAAGTTAGCAATTGGGAACATCTGCAACGTCCAGTAAAGTTAGCAATGATATATACAGTCCCCTCCAAAAGTATTAGAACGGTAAGGCAAATTCCTTTATTTTTGTTGTTCACTGAAAACATTTGTGTTTAAGATCAAAAGATGAGTATGAGACAAGAGTTCAGAATTTCAGCTCTCATTTCCTGGTATTCACATCTAGATGTGTTAAACAACTTAGGACATATCACTGTTTGTATTAGACCACAGCATTCTTGGGTGAGCAAAAGTAATGGAACAAATAATCTTAAAGTAAATAACATTTAATATTTGGTGGCATAACCCTTGCTTGCAATAACTGCCTCAAGCCTGCGACCCATCGACATCACCAAACTGTTGCATTCTTCATTTGTGATGCTATTCCAGGCTTTTACCGCAGCCTCTATCAGTTCTTGTTTGTTTTGGGATGTTTCTCCCTTCAGTCTCTTAAGGAGGTGAAATGCAGCTCTATTGGGTTAAGGTCAGGTGACTGACTTGGCTGGTCTAAAACCTTTCACTTTTTCCCCTGATGAAGTCCTTTGTTTTGTTGGCAGTGTGCTTTGGCTCATTGTCCTGCTGCATGATAAACTTCCTCCCCATTAGTTTCAATGCATTTCTCCGGAAATGTTTCTGTACACTTCTGAATTCATTCATCAAGATTGCGTTCCAGAACTTTTGCGGCTCATCTCTGTACTACCTTGCAAATTTCAGTCTGGCCTTCCAATTCTTCCTGCTGCTGAGTGGTTTGCATCTTGTGGTGCGGCCTCTATATTTCTGCTCTCTGAGTCTTCTTCCAACAGTGGATTGTGATACCTTCACCCTGCACTGTGGAGGTCGTTGGTGATGTCACTTACTGATGTTTTGGGGGTTTTCTTCACAGCTCTCACCATATTTCTGTCATCAACTACTGTTGTTTTCCTTGGCCGACCTGTTCGACGTCTGTTGCTCAGTACACCAGTAGTTTCTTTCTTTTTCAGGACATTCCAAATTGTTCTTCTTGCTATACCCAATGTTTGTCCAATGGCTCTGGTCGACGTTCCTTCTTTTCTCAGCTTGACAGTGGCTTGCTTTTCTCCCCTAGACAGCTCTCTGGTCTTCATGTTGGTTTATCCTCTTTATCAGGAAATGCAGTCTTTATAGGTTTGAACCAAGGATGAAAACTTAGACTAGTCATGCAGAGCTATTTAATGTTTGGACAATCAACCTAAAAGGCAACACCTGGGCTACAAGAAACATCTGTCAGCCACATGTTCCAATAGTTTTGCTCACTTGAAAAATGGGTGGGTTCAAACAAAGGGCGATATGTCCTGAGTTGTTTAACACATCTAGATGTGAATACCAGGAAATAAAAGCTGAAATTCTGAAACTCTTGTCTCATACTCATCTTTTGATCTTAAACCCAAATGTCTTCAGTGAACAACAAAAACAAAGGAATTTGCCTTACTGTTCCAGTACTTTTGGAGGGGACTGTATGCAACGTCTGGTTACACTTTCAAAATAAAACTACTGGTTAATGTTAAACGGTATGTTGTTAACAATATGAAACGTGGCAAAAACAAGTCAGTGTTGAATGCGAGTCTTTACAACGTTGATGAGAGGACAAAGAGGGACTTTCCACCTGTGCACAAGAAGAGAAAATGAGTGACTTTTGGGAACAGCAGTCTGGTAAACGTGTTCTCTCAGGGCTGAACGATTTGGGGAATAAATCTAATTGCAATTTTTCTGCCAGATATTGTGATTGCAATTTGATTTGCGATTTTTTATTTTTTTTTACTGAAGTTTTGCTGAAGTTCAAGATTCACTGCCATTCTATTTTGACGGAAGCTGCGTCAAGCAGCACAGAGCAGATGAACCAGGCAGGAAGACTCCCGATCGTACATCAACAATAAACATTTAAACAGTTAAAACAGTTAAAACAGTTAAAACACACAGAAAAAGAAACAATTTAACTACGCAGCCTACTTAACCACAGTAGAACTGCAAAAATCAAGGATAACTGAACAAATCAGCAAGTCAGCAAAATCAGACAGGCAAAACACTCTTCTGAAATGTGGATATGTAACATTAGCCTGCAGAGAGCAGAACGGGCTCATAGAGAGCTGTTGAAGCACACAAAACTTAGGGCGGCTGTGGCTCAGGAGGTAGAGCGGGTTGGTCGTTAATCGGAAGGTCGACGGTTCAATCCCTGTCTTTGCTCCTAAACAAGGGATTAATAACTATAAACAAAAGGAGAACCAAAAACCTCTCTAAGTCGTTGTTTTAAACAGAAACACAGGAAGCGCAGCACCCCTAAACCTAGTGGGTCTAATACAATAAATAAAAATATACTATACTAAAAGTGTAAATGGTATCAGTAATAAGCTGATCCCTGGCCCAATTCTGCAGACCAAACAAACACTTAAATCGCTTAATTGTTCAAAACAGTAAGTGTTACCAACTCTCAGTAACACTAACTGGAGACACACAGGACTCTAGGTCACAACACAACAAGAAGGTGCTTGTTGCCAGTCTTACAACTCAAACTATGCAAGTGTGGGCAAGATACTGAACCCCGATTTGCCCCTGGCGGCTGTTCTGTCAGTGTATGAATGAGTGTGAATGTTAGTTTCCGTTTGAGCACTTATAATATGAATGTGTATGACTGGTGAATGTAGTGTAAAAAGCTTTGAGTGGTTGAAAAGACTAGAAAGGTGCTATACAAATACGGAACATTTACAGAACAACAAGTCAACAATGTGTAGGCCAAACCCTCCGCTCTGCTCACACTTAAGTGTGAGATGACGATGGACAAAACCGTGGCACAGATGCTGCCTGTGTCAGTTCGGCTGGCGCCATCATCCCATGTTTTTCTTCAGTTTTGATTTTCTCGTTTTTTTTAAATGTATTTGCCCTGTTGGAGGATCATGGCGCTTGTAATTGGCGAGCAAGGATGTCAAACAAGGATGACAACGGGATGAATTTGTAACTGCATGAGTGTTTAAAACGGGTCAGATTTGCTGTATGGTGTGAAGAAACCAGATTGAAATTTGAAGCAAAATGTATTTATTGCTCTTAAATGTACTTAAGACATAACACTAAACTAAACTTACTTATTTACTAAGAAGCTTATTAATCGTTCAACTTAAATCTCATCGCTGCTCACTCTTAATCATGCCCCCCACTATATTCATTAAACTTTCATATAAATTGTATCACTACTATAATACTAATTGTAGGTTGTTTTCATTTATTAAATCTTTGTGCAAGAAAAACATTGGTCTACATTGGTCTGTAATTTATTTATGCTAAGTACTAACAAAAAATTTTCATTCACCATTCTTGCACAAAAATAACTTTAGGTTGCATCGCACATCGTAAATAATTTTTCTGGTTTGCACGTATCTATTTTACAGGCAAATGTATGTGAAAAACTCTGTTTAGCAACGCATCATCCATCCTGAACCCGTCGCACTGCTTTTCTTCTTCTTCTTGTTTTATTTGCTGGTGCTGTCGACTTACCTTCTGTTACAGAGCTGTTCTACATGCTGCCACTGGCTTTATAAATAAATAAACGGGAGATTTACTGGGAAATATTTTAACGGGAAAAACAGTAAAATACAGGAGAAGCCCAGGGGAAACGAGAGGGTTGACAGGTGTGCACATCTACGCCAATCAAACACAAGAAACCTGAAATGAACATAAACAACAACCAATGAACACCCCTAATCTGTGTGTTACTCAACTTTAGATCCCTCTTGTGTGAAACAACACGACACGCTGATCTGCTGTTAGATACCGTCAAAAAGATATTATATGGCGGCATCATACCGAATACGAATACCCGCCACATTGGCGGGTAGCCTTTCAACATTTAGCCGCCAAACGGAAAATCTTCCTGCATTTGGCGCTTGGCGGGTGTTAATTTCCAGCCCTGGTGAAAACATGCGTTCATACGCACATGCACAAAATGAAACTCGCACATTCCAGGAGAATGGTCCAGCTGAGCGGTGCTACAGTCTGCAGCTCGACCTTATTGCATTCCAGCAGACAACACATGTATGTGAGAGCACTCATAATTTTGAAACGA